GCGGGAGGACGGGGGAGGAGAGGGTGGCTGAGGATCATCGAGATTCTCAAAAAAAGCTCGTAGCAAAATAAATATATGCCATACACTTTACTACATAAATACAAAATAATGAAGTACTTCTCGAGTTCTTTTAAGTGTTACCCCCCTAACGCCCCCCAAAAAAAAAAACAATCCGTTTCTTCACCGCAAAATTTCGTATTTCCTGGAAATCGGCTCAGAAACGGTACAATCGATGAAAAATTTAGAACGTCGATCGGCATGGACGAATCGTAACACAAGATAATGAAGATTTAACTCAAAGAACCTGGTACCGGGATAACCAAAGAGATTATATCGAACTGGCCAATTAGAAACTCATAGATAAATTGAGTTGCTTCGCGTAAATCAGGCATTCGTGAAGCTAAACAATTTCTAGGATTCAGCGAAATTCTCTAGCGGCAGATGCAGTCATGCAAAGACGCCAGAAGTTTCAGAACGATTTACGATGCATCCCGCGGGGGAATCACTGATTTCAAATGTTCCCGCGCTTTGAAGGATCTTCAAAAGCCCATAGCGATACTCGTAACGTGCTGGCAATCGCGTTATTCTCGTTTGAATAATTTTCCACATACAGTGTAAGCTTATACATGGATATATTGTATATTAAAAGCTCACCCTATATATAGATACATATACATACATATATATTCATGAATCTAGTTACTCTTGGTACAACAAGTGGCACCAACTACCGAGTAGAACCAATTAACTTGCATTTCACTGGAACAACCAGGATAAGAGCGTCACCCGCCATTTAAGCCTCGCAGCAAGATGAATATCTGAAGAAGCTGCCAGGAGAACGAGAAGCGGCCAACCCAAATCCCCGTATGGTTATCGATCACCAGGAGCGTCTTCCACGTATAAGATAGGAGTGAAATCTCGACTGGCACTCGTAAGTCGAGCTGCTTCACTTGGGTAAATTCACGAGCCGCTGTAGACGCCAACCTCTCGCGCGCGCTGACACACCCTCTGCGCATTCATTCCCTCCTAGAGAGCTGAGGATGTCAATGAAAGATGGGGATTTTTCAATATCCCATTCTTCCCATAGCCACGAGGAGTACCACCACCACCACCACGTATCGAAAGAGCCTCTACACTACCTACGAGTCTGGTATCGAGACGCGAGACGCTTTTATTGTCAGATATCTACATTCAGGGCAAACCTGAAACGAGCTATAACCTGTAGTCAAGGATGAACGCGGGATCATTGAGTTAGACGAAAGTTATCTTATTAAAAATTTATTAAACCCACCCCAATATATTTTACGTGTAAGCTGGTACGAGAGGGTACAGCCTTTGATGATAATCCAAATGGTACTGAACGTTCGAATGAAAATTGACGGGATCTTATGGCAATTAAAATTACCACTCGAATGAAATTCCTGGAGCATCCTGCGAGGAATGTTTCAGGATGATATTTACGTGGATACTCTGTGGATTTCAGCGGCGCTGATTTACGAGAACCATTAGTCAATTTCCATCGTGGCTCAGGGTTGAGCAATGGATGGGGCAGGGAATGTTGTTAGCTCTGACAGGGCTGTACATGGAGATTTCGAGATTACCTCTGCGAAGACACGAGGGAATTTTTTTTCTTTCCCTGGCTTTGAGGACGGAAAATGAAAAGCGAGATGACGTTCTATATTGTTATTATTCCTTGGAAACCGAAAGAGACGCAGTGGGGGGAGGAGGAGGTGGGCAAATGAAGAAAGATATAACGTGGATACAAAAAAAAAAATACTCGAGATGAGAAGATCGAACGAGTGATGCTCGTGTTCAATCCGGATGCCAATTAACGGGAAATCGAAAAAGTTTGTTCGCTTGACCGCAGCCAAACGAATTCACGTATTCTATGTACATTGTGTATCGTACGATTTCTCATGGCTGTATCCCAACGAAGCGATAGATAGAAAATGGGATTAATTGAATGGAATTATTTTTAGAAAGTTTCCGTCATTCACCAGTTGGCAGAGACGGTAGGAATTTTTGGCGATTGAATTTTGAAAATTCGTCACTTTTCGAATACCGAATGTAATTGGTATACGATGGGATAAACTTCGAAGAAGAACGGTCAGACGTGTAAGGGTAGTAGCGCGATAGAGTGGAAAATGCAATTTTCCACTCCGAACCGTATAATCGTAGGAATTCATTAATCACCGGCTTGGTAATCGGCAATCATCGTCATCCACTTCCGGCAAAGTTTCCGATACTTTTAATAGCGAGTTAACCTCGTGTCACCGATTTCCAATATTATTACAAGACGAATTATGCAAGTAGCCCTTCGTTTCGTTCAAGATCTCACCAGCACCGGAAGCACCCTTCGTCCTTCCTCTATACTCCTCTACGTCATCCGTATGTTCTATCCTCCTCTCCTCTCTTCTCCCTCACCCGCTCCACACACCTCGATGCTCTCTACCATTAATCTTGTCCATTGTTCCCTAGAAGCGAAACTCTGGATTCTGGAATGCTTACGTATTATCCAGACTGCCTCCTGCTACCGAGTGCCACCTCCCCTTACCGTCCCGGTATTGTAACCATATCGGAAGATATTCACATTCGAAGATTCCAGCAGGAAATCATATCCCATAGAACAATCAAGGATCAAATAAAGTATAAACTGAAGAGAGAGGCAATAATAAAAGAACCATATACATTAAAAGATATATATATATATAAATTGAGCTCAGCAAAAATCAATGTACGTAATAATAATATATCATCCAGTAATAAAAAAATACTGCAATATGACCTGTCGTTTGTAACCACTCAGATCATTCTTTTTTTTCTCTATTCAAAAAAATGTATTGGGGCTTCAATAGCACTCAGTGTGAACAGTGACCACGTGCGTAAGTGGTGTCGGAGGCGGCCTGGTCAGCCGACCTAGGGGGGCTGGAATGACTGGCTGAATGTAGGGGAACTGTCTCCAAGGGGAAGACCTGGCAAAAGAGGGTACGCATTATGAATGACGGGATCAGAGGGTAGCGATACGTCAAGAGATCAGCGACCTTACCCGAGAAGGACTTGTCTCCTGATCTCAACTAGTTTCTCCACTGATATTTGAACTGACACCGAGCCAAGTGTCGCCAAGGGATACGGCCCTGGTTTCCCGGCTCGATTTGTCACTGGCACGTTACCCTTATTTCGCTTAATCCACATCGTTAAGATACCGGCCATGGGGCCCTGCGCAAAATGGGCGACTTGAAGATCCTGGAAACACCTGACGCGATACTCGATCTGATCCATCGTGAGAAGAACACGGAGGATATTCCTTTTCAAGAATAATACGAGATGTACGTAAATAAAAAAAGTATGTAAAACGATATGAATACGGTATGAAAGGCCACGTGAATTATTTAAGTATTTTTCTAATAATACACACGGGCATTTGGACATGAAAATTAAGTTTGTCGATTATCAGCACAGGATAACGTGCAATAAATTATTACACCTGCCACTCGCGTGAACGAAACACAAGGCAGACGAAAGCTCGGTAAAAGGTTTGACATCAATTAATAGACTTTGAAAATGCAAACCAACACGAATACTACCACGTGATAACCCAAGCACTAATGTTAACGCATGATAGGATGATTAATTCAAGCGTGCTGCAGACGCGAAACGCGTTGCGTCACGGCATATCGAAATCATCGTTAATTAACCATGTAAAAGTATCGTGTTAACCAGAACATACTTGGTACCATGTTATCACTTCGAATCATCGAATACCCTTAAAAATCCTCGTAAAACATAACATCCCATTCGAAAATTGCATTAAAGCGACTCTTGTCCCGTCTGATTGCGCTACAGTGCAAAAGCAAGAGATAAGAAGATAACATTGATTATCAAGTTAAAGGGCAAAACGTTATCCTCATCAGGCAACTATCCAATTACGTACATATAGATAATACAATCAGAGTCGGAGCATCGACGTAAGATGCTGCTGTCGCTTAACTAGCAATAACCTCATTATACCCGGGACTCAAGATGCTCCAATTAGTTATAACCATCCCTAGGAGATTACCAGAGCGAGTAACAGGGATGGCGTTCCATGACATGCATAGGAATCTTATTAAAGGAAATCGCTGGGATGCACCGAGATAGGGGATGCTGGGCTGGACCAGTAACCAAGCCAGATTAGACAGTTGGCTAATGCCACGTCCCCACGGGTTATCAGCGTACCGAGTTACGACTGCATCATAATACGTCACTTAGCGTCTGTACAGAGACGACGACGACTGTGCACAGAATGCGCTAATCTAACTTCTGTTCTCAAGGCAGGTCCACGGAGTACTCGATCCACCCCCAATTTGACCTGCAGCATCCCACGTTAGTAAGCTGCCTCTAACAGCAGCCCCCTCGTCTTAATGGGGCATTTCAAACCCAACCTAAAAGACCGACCAACCGGACGACCCACGCTATCAGATTACAAGCCTGACCCCGTGGCTACACTCGCTTTAAACCCCGTACCTAAACGTTGCCTTGATTGTCGGCACTGTAATGGAACCAGCTAAGCGCCATTGACGAGCTTAAGCCGCGTTCACATTTTCCTTGAGACACTGGATTACTCGAGGCGTCTTGGCGTTTAGTTCATCTTGGGGCATTAGACGTACCGTCGTTACGTACGACGTAACAGAATTACACGCTACTAGGAAAAACACGTGGTTAATGCACTTTGGGTGCGTCTGTGTTTTCTGGAGTTTGGACGAAATCGGCAAACGTTTCTGGAATTCTCTCAGCTTGCCTGCCGCTTCGATCGCTACAGGAGCAGGATATACCGAGGGTCTCCATGTTAAAGAGGAACTCTTCGTTCGAATGGATCCAAGTTTTTTCCTTCTTTGTGAAAGTTCGTTAAACACTTTTTGGCCTATTGTTGTATGATTCTTTTTAACTAAATAGTCCACGGTATGTAATACGCAGGACTTGGTGTCGACTGTTCGTTCGATATACACGCGCTTATGTAGAACGTAAAAAGTTTCTTGTAGCTAAGCTACGCTCACTGCTATTTGTCCGAACAAATAAGAATCTACTTGAAGTTTGACGTGCCAATTCTCATTGAAAAGGCAACTGCGCCGTGGGTCTTGTTTACCGACGTAGGAGTTATTTCAGCTAAGATCTTAGGACGGCTAACGTTTTGGTAGTCTGCCGTCATTATCCTTCGTGCGGGTAAGTGGCTTTCGTGGATACGGGTTCTATGGATTCAGAGGGTTCTAATAGGCGCTGTTTCGCTGTTGAATCAACGATCATGAGAATCTGCCATTAGTTTCAGGAAAATGCTTAAGAATTGAATGAGCTATTAATCCGACCGTCTATAGGGAGGATAATTTTAATTGAGAGAAAAGAATTTTTTACATAGAAGCAGACAAAGAGGTACGATGTAGAATAGCGTTAATGAGGTTAGGTCTAGTTGCTTCCTTGAATGGAATTATATTGAATTCGCGAAGCTCTCATTAAAATTGCCCAAAGGACTTCTACGATCTAAACGCACTTTAAATATGTATTGCGTATACAAGAGATGATATTGAAAAATGAAAAAAAATTTCAACCATTATTCGATACCAAAAAGTACCATCAGTCCGTATAAAAAATGATGGAGTCATCAAACGCGATTAACGACGTCATTCAAAAGCACAGCAAGGAAAAGAACGGGTAAAAAAGAGAATTTTGCGAAACGAATAAAAAAGTTGCACAGTCGCATAAGCAAAGCTCACTCATCTTCTTATCTCTAATGAGCAAGCCAGACATTCAGCCTCAAGTAGGTTAGACTAAAATCGTGAAAACGGTTTTGATCATTCAAGATACGTTAATGAGCACGGGCCATTGTTTATCAAGCGTCGGGGCTGATGATTCTCCCGCAGACTGACTCATTGACTGAAATCCGTATGAATAAAGATTTTGACAAAAGGCGCGAGCTTCGACCCTCGTTATGTCACGTAATAAAGCCGCGCGAAGAATCGTGGCTGCGGCAAACAAATCATGAGACAAGAAATAAAAAATAATGTCCAACGCACAAGACAGGAAATAATATTCAGCATCACGTTGACCTCTCTATTCATCCACCCTTACTTCAAATCCCGTCATTATATATTTTTTAGTTTTTTTTTTTTTTTTTTGTTTTTTTTTTTTTTTTTCCAGAAACCTCAGACTACCCTGCAACCCTAAGCACGGGTAACAGTCTGCAAAGTATTTTTTAAGCGCTTCCCAAGTCCATACTGAAACCACGTTACAACGGAAGACGCGATAAACCTTGCGATTAAAGGTTACAAGCTCTTCAGGAAAGAGACTCCTAAGCAAGCTCACAAAATCCCTTCCAAGCTGGAAATAGAAATCGAATAAAAGTTCGCAGGTAAAATTCAACGTATTTATCCCGTCGAAAGGATATGTGTTAAGTGCGAGCTAAAAAAAGACTATAAAGAAGGCATTAAGTCCAAGACTCAAAATGGAGCTTATATCATAACTGTTATTCTCTGTAGTTCATTTCACTATATTTCTATTCTGTGTGTGTCAGGGTCTATTGCACGTTCTGCCATTGAATATGGAAAGGAAAACGGATCGTGAATTAACCTCGGCTGACTTCGCATGGCTGTACGTAGTTTACGGTCTTCTTTATCTGACGATGCTGCTCTTTGAATATTTTTGCCGAATGACTAAATTCACGTCGCGTCTTATCCAAGTAACGATGCAATAAATCAAGAGGAAATTGAGAGAATACGGACTTGAGTTATTTAATTAAACAGCACTACCAGCCCAGAACCTAGAACACTCGATTGGAGATCTCGCTCGAAGCTCTTACGTCATCTAAGAAAAATAATGAAGATCAGGTAGAAAAGGTAAGTCTATGAAGTCAATTTAAAAGATTTCGATTACTTTATAAATCTAGAGATATGAAATAATTCTTTAAACTTTTTTCTTATACTTATCCGACCTGCCCAACAAGCCTCCAGTACCACTGACTCTTTTCAGGGAAGAATATACAAGACACTTCGTGCGAAAAAGCTTCTTTCTAAAGTTTCTTCTAGAGCCGCAACAACCTGAAGGCCTCTGTCCACGTTCGACGTAAAGGGTCTGTAGTACGCAGGCAAGGGCCTACACACGACTTTCGCCTTTCCCTCAGTGCCAACTAGAATGGTCCCCAGCGGTGACACTTTGACTGTGCCAACCAGCCGGCGGCCAAAAAAGCTCCAAGATATTAGAATCGTCCGGAGGTGAACACACTACCTGTCGCGTCCCACTCGCGAGCATACGCGATTCCTATCGTTGCTTTGAGAACGCACCCTTCTCTGCCACCCCGTACAATTCCATTCTAGCGTATAATGCCGAGTGCAAGCTCATAGCCGTTGCTTGCGACGTCTTTGCCTGAAGTTCAGGTTCAAAGAGCGGCGACCTTAAAGACAGTCGAGAGAATTGTTACCAGGAAACGGACAGAATGTGACTCAAGCTTCGCTTGGTGTGACCAACCGTGAGCTGGAACAGAGTACGGGAGAGATGGGAATAAAGAGAAAGAGAATGTACAAGGGGAATAAAATGGATGAAGGACAGACGGTATCCTGGATACGACGTTACTTGAGGTATAAATAGATGAAAGTTCTCGTCTAGGCTCTGAATGTGATACGTAGGTACGTACCTACTTAGAATATACAGATAACAGACTATACCCAGTGAAACTTTATGCACTCGATTTTCCTTGAGGCTTTTGCGCCATAGGTAACCTTAGTATTTCGTCGGGTCGGTACAACTGCTTTTACGTTGAAATAAGATACGGCGTAACTTTTTATCTTTGACAGGGATGCTGCGTCTCGTAGTGAAGTATGATAACGGGTGAAGAAAAGTACATTGAGATGGATATGCACGTAAAGGGTATCGATTGACAATACTTTTTTACTTGAATGAAAAACGCTGTTGAGTATATTCTGTTAACAGTTCGAAAGTTCAATATGGTTATCGTGTTGAGGGTTGAAAAAGAATTGTTGATCGATTAAAGTCAAATTTATATGTAAATGTGAATGGACGATAAACGAGTAGAAGTTGGTCTGAATTTTTTTGAAAAGTCCTTCGATCCATTTTCAAATTCGTTTTCCCGACTTTCTTGTCATCGACAGGTACGTTTCCCATAAAGAGATCACTCTGCGAGATTAAAGTTTGCTCTCTGCCTCTTATTCGCGTCGGCAAGTAAACGCGGCGCCAGTCGATTCCCTAAATTGTCGAATGCTTCGTCAACGACAATGGTCCACGAAGGGAAGGGAGAGGCTGTGCCCTGAAGTTGCTTCAATACCGAAATCCCTCGACAGAAGAAATACGTGAAGCAACTAGGAGGGGGGCAGAGCAGAGGCAAGCAAAAAAGCCTGCGGAATCACTCTGGTTGGCTTTATCGTTCACACGCATGATTTAGCTCCGTGCCCGAGATAATCGTCGAGCATCTTCCGATGTGAATGACGCGGTTTAAACTCGCTCAAGATAATCGTGCCCGACGAAGGGAACCCCGGAGTAGAGCCATGCTAACTACAAAGCAGATTATCACGGCGCCTTATCAGTGGGATGTTGCTTGATTTCACGTGGAGCAGTATAGTGAAAAAATTTACTACCCTTGAAATCCCACGTAACCATGATATTTTTGATTAAAAAAATACATATATATATATATATATATATATATATATATATATACATATATATACCCGAACGTAAATTTTGAAAATTATGAATTCAAGCGAAAAAATAAAATCACAAAGGTCGTCTAATGCATTGATTATTTCGATAAGAGCACCTGGATTGTCATTATGAATGTATAAGACCTCGGTAAAGGGTTGAAATGCCCTCAAGTATTTAATCAGCCCCAAAGAACAAGCATACAATCACACTGAGATGAAAGTAGAAGAGTAGAAAAATATTACAAAGATTCACGTATCCCATTGAAATAATTTTTTACAAGTTTTCAGATTTCAGGTTTAACGCGAAATAAAGAAGCCTAAGTCCCCTTATGGTGACTATAGGATCGAGTGGGTCACACTCGACCACACAAGGAGCAACTCCATCTCAGCGCAGTTCCACCTTCTAGCCCGGGACATCGTCATGTGGAAGCTGCGGCTCCTGGGTAGCTTTCCATCCGAACCATGCATCCCCCTCCCCTTCTGGACCACTCTTCTATTATTCTCGTTTTTCCCTCCCTGCAAAACCCTTACGCACCCTCCATACCCACCGTGCTATTCTCTGCCTCATGTGAGGACACTTTTCTTCTTTTGGTCACAAGCTCGAAATACACTTCACGAAGTATGGTATACCCGTGGCGGTTCACACGTGCGCGTGGCTACCCGCCATTGCTTTACGGAGAAATTTGTTGGCAACGTACGGGATAAAATTTTATGACTCCTAACCGCGAATTATGGTCCCGCGTCAATTCCTCTGTCGTTTGATATAGGGTGCTTTTGTGGCTTATCGAATTCCACAGGAGAAAGGGCATCAACAATGGTCGTTCAATACTTTTCCAATAGATACGCGTGGATATACATCGTCCTTGTATATACGTATCCAATCCTCCATTAAAGCTTTTCCACGAAGATGTACGACAGATCCCGATCTACAGTGTCGTAAAGCATTAATAAGGAAGCGATCCTGGGAAATAATAGGGGGTCAGCTGCATAGGGCGGATGTCATCAGCAGCCGCAGTATAAAAAGCAGCACCCCCCGTCGTATCGCACAGAGAACAGCATAACTCACACGTGTCCAGGACCACCGGCACCCCTCTCGCCATTCTCACCACTTTTTCTCTCCGCTGCTGCTAAAATATTTATCCATTGGCGACTCGCCGGGGTGCCGTGACGTAAAAAAAAATGCTTACCTCGTTCCAAATTATACCAGGTACTAAAAACAAAAAGTCTACCAAATCTACAAATGATAACTAAACTATAATGAAAAATGGCACTTGATCGTTATATAACGTTATTCCCATTAATACCATAAAAAAGTCACTGGACATCCAGCCTCCCTAGTTCCTGTAATTATGCAAACAAGCCGGTTAAATTAGATACCTATTTGGACCCCTTCCCCAGAATCTAACTCAATGCGAAATAAGTACTGGAAGCTGACGGATCACATCCATGTGGATCCTATAAAGGTAATCCCGCTCAGTCGTCAGCCTGTGCGTATCAGCTCTGGTTGCACGGACCATTAGTAAGTCTACGCACGCGACAGGTACCGATGACTATAGAAAAAAGCAGATCAAAAAAAGAAGATCAAGATAAAACCGCCAGGGACACAGAATAGTACTAACGGTAAAAAGTGACGAGACACGAGCTTTACGGTAATCCGATTACAAAGAACCCACGCTACTCGACCGATTCAATTAACGGAAAAACCCACGGGAGAGGATTTCGCGTAGCGAGGTTATTGCACGCTACGAATGGTCCATGGAGGCTGTGCTTTGGATCGCGAAGTCAACGTTAACGACGTTATTTTACGACTGTCAAACGAAGCGAAAATTTTTGTTCGGCTTCTACCAGATTGTGAACACGTACGAATCGACAGTCGGATCTGCGACGAAATTCAACCGTCCGACCCATGTGGTCCAGGCGTAACGGTTGATCTACGGTTGGGATGCTGCGTATATGTACTTCGTGCTCCTTTGTGAATATTTAAAAATACTTTTTTCGTCGTTCCACCCTGTCTCGCTCTAAATAACTAACCTACCATCGGTAACCACTTAGACGGTAACGGGGGGTTGAAAACCAAGGACCCATTTGTCTTCCCTTTCTTCGCCCACGCGCTGGATAAAAAGAAGTTCAGTGCGTGTCCTATCTGTCCACCCTGTGGAGATCACTAACCTATTCCCGACCTACTGCACACCCCTATTATATACTCACTCCCTTATATACGTTCCTCCTATACCATTCGACCCTCTGCCCATAACCGTGGAAAGGATAATACGATATAAGACAGTCTAGGTTGGAGTATGGCCATTGCGTAAGAGTCTTCAAAACGCCATCAAAATTTATACTTTTTCTTCGGATTCTTATCCGACGAAAATCACTCGCACGGAATTCCATTGCTGCATACATAAAGATTCCTGACAGAAAAGCCTGGCGGAGAATGACTTGGCTATTCGGCGACGAGAACGAAAGCAGAGGGAAATTTGGTTCTGGTCTGCTAGGCCGATGCGATTTTAGATAGGAATGAATCTATCAAAGTGGCATGTGAAGGACACATGGGATGGATCGGAAGGGGTGCGGGAAGTTAGCCCCCCATAATTCCAAAATTCCGGTTCTACTTGTTCTGGCTTGTTCTAAGTTTGTTCTATAATGTTCCAGAAAAACAAGTTTCTCAACTGAAATTTGTAGCGATGAGGCGAACAAAAAACACATTTACGCTCTCGGAACAGCAAGTGGATATGGGACCATTTCGAAAGATTGTCCAGGTTATTCCAGGATGTTCCATCTTGTTCTAGGTTGTTCTAGGTTTTTCTAGGTTGCTCCAAGTTGTTCTTGGTCTATCGATGATTGTTCTAAAATTGTATAACGATCGGGTAGTCGCAGGTCGGATAAAAGTAGGAAGAAATGATTTTATATGCATAAACGTTTTTTTGATCCCATTCGAGTATTCTTTACTGAGCGGTATTAATATTCTGGAACAATATTTAGAACAACTAGAACAACCTTGACCAACAAAAAAAAGTTTGATTTTCCATAAGTGGGGGGTTCCGGTAAAAAAGTGTTTTTTTTGCCTCACCGCTACAAATTTCAATTGAGAGACTTGTTTCTCCAGAACATTGTAGAACAAACTTAGAACAACTCAGAACAAACAACCGAACCGGAATTTTATAATTATGTGGGACTAACTTCCCCGACTTGATTGGAAATGGTCGAAAGAGCGTCAAAACCGATAACCCCTCTGGGTACCCTTATGTGAGCTAT